CTTTTATTGGACATTTGCTTGCATACATGAACTGGCTTTTAAGCATCTCTTTTAGGGGTTTCCATGATTTGCTAGTTGCAAAGTAGTATAATATTCTAAACATTCTTTTTTCATGTACCAACTATTGTATATGTTTATATCATTAATTTCTGTTTGGTTTTTAATTAGATGCAAGGTTATTCAAGAATTAAACCAAGTTCAATGGAAAAAAATAGGAAATGTTATTTTCTCCAAAGAAAAATTTTAATATGCAGGATGCTTACTATATATGCCTAATATTTTTCAAAGTATATCAATCAGCTTAGTTTGGGTAAATCCAACTATTGCACATTTTAGTTTAGGTGTGCATTTTTTTACTTTAAATCTCAAAATTTAGTAAATAACTTCCTAATTTTAGGAGAATTAATGTTGTGTACAATATTGGAAAAGGGGAATAATTGTCATAGTCATTTTCTCATGGATTCTTAAGTACTTTTAAAGACGATTGGAAATGCTAAATGCCATGCCTTGTTCAGTCTTTTTTCCTCTTTCATTCATTCCATCTCTTCTTAAATTTCAGAGAGAAAAAAGAAAATAATAATTATAAAGGAATTTTTTTAAGATAATTTACATGAAAGATTAAATCTTTAAACAAGCCGAGCGAAACTTGAGCTCTTGATACTCGAACTTGGCTTTGCTTGTTAAGTATCAAACCGATAAACCAGCTCGAACTGAATCTCGACTCGTTAACGAGATACTTCCAGACTGATGTATGTTGGAAGTTTAAAAAATTACGTAAAATTTTCTCTTTATTAAATATAACGAGCCAAATTTAACTCAGACTTGTTAAACCACGAGCGTTTCATTTGGTTTAACAATGCTATTAAACGTGTGAATTTTGGACAGTCATCTGACTTTTTCAACTGTTAAATTGATCTTTGAATTAAAACGAAAAGAAAAGGCCAACGATGAAAAGGATAAGCCAACGGCAATGAGTTGCTTTGGCGCATGAAAGACGGAAGCTATTAAGGTCCCACACATTAAACAGTTGAATTTTTTTAGTACATCAAATTCTTGTTCAAGTTTATCTAAATTGATCCATCACATCACAGTTTTTAATAAAAGTACAATTTTATGTCATACAATACCATTTTAAAGTAATAAAATTTGAGTTTGGAATGATGCAAATAGCTAACCAATCACAATTTTTTAACAAACATATAATTTTAGGCTATACATACACTAATCTATTTATACAATTAGAATACCCAAATTTTTGTACGGGCCAGACTTATTAATCGACCACTCACATATCTTGTTAAAAATACAATTGTATTTATACAATACTATGTTTTTATTTATATTATTTCTTAAAATAAGACATTTGAATTAGAAAGATCAATCGCAATATTTTAACAAACATAAAATATCATACTTGCATTTAATTATCATATTTTTGTAATATAATATTTTAGTCCAAAAATAAGCCAATATAATGTCTTGCTGAATATTAGATCTAATCAACAGAAGGTTCCAATATTCAATTTTTTTTTTCCTATTCCCATTTGATTGGTTGAGAAAATTATGTTGGTCCCCATTTGATTAAGCTGGCTTTGTAAAGAGAGATGATTGATCATTCATTCATTTGACAGATTGTAACTTGTAAGTGATATGATATGTTTCTTTTTCTTTTGAAGCAAACATAAGATTTACTCCATATTAATTAATTAATTAATATTTAATTCGCTGCTTTGTTCTTTCCAGCAACCATGTCTTGTGCTGAAAAAGAAAATTTATAAAATATTAGATTTTTTCAAGGAATAAAATCTTCTATCTAGATGTGCTTTAGCTAAATGACTTTTGCCTTGGCAAACTAGTGTGTACCCTGTGCATCGCACTGCACAGGAACAATATTAAATTAACAATATTATAAATAGATCTCGAGTTTGAGTCACTCAATAGCGGAAGTGGAAATTACTATTGATTCTATTTAAAAAGAGGAAGAAAAAAAATAATTACAAATTAAAGAGGAAGATAAACAATACCTAATAATTATAAATTAAAGATTCGGGGTCAAACAATGTAAAATTATTTTGTATAAGAGAATATAAAAAAATTCGATTACACACCATTTCAAAATTATTATTATACTTTTTGTACGGTTAGCTTATAATATTTGTGAAAATATTAGTAATTAGATAAAGTAGATAATGGATTTCTAGTAGTAATTATAATTTGGTTTCTATTTTATTTTATTTTTTCTTTTTAAAGACTTTCATCTTCTTAAAGTAGATAATGGATTTCTAGTAGTAATTATGAATTGGTTTCTATATTATTTTTATTTTTTCTTTTTAAAGATAATAGATTTCTAGTAGTAATTATGAATTGATTTTTATTTTATTTTATTTTTTCAAATCTGTATAGATAAGGGATGTGATTTTTTAAAACAGTATGCAATGGGATTTTGTAACAGAAGAGATAATACTAAAAATAGGAAAAAGAAAAACAAATATTTACTGTCAAACAACGGTTTTGATAAACTAAAAAACAGGACAAAGAGAAACAAATCTTTACACAATTAATGAGCCAATTTTTTTGCTTATTCAGATGTGTCCAACAATTACTATATGTAGGATATATTTAATGATTTTGTGGGGAGAAATTTCTAAATTTATAAGAAGGTTATTATTTTTATATGATGATAGATGTTCATAATTTATCCCTTTTTATACACGAAAGTAGAGTTTATGCATCAATTGTTGGCAATTTTATTTGTGACTTTTGGTACTATCATAATTATATGTGTAGATCTAAATTTGTGTGAACGTCTATGGGGAATTTTAAAATTATTAAATATTTTACTATTTTAAATTTTAAATATATTTTAAAATATTAGTATATTTTCTATGTATTATTAAATTTTCATATATGATATAGCCGATTAATTATAGGTTGACGAATTTCTATTTGACATCTAGATTGTACATAAAAATAAATATAAAATTATCTTTATAATAAAAAAATATAATATATAACTGAAGAGATAATAAAATTATTTATCAAGTTGCAATGAAAAGAGGAAAATTACACTTAATAAATTAAATAGTAAAACTATTAGCCTTACCTTTTCAACCAGACAAATTTTTGTGAGACTGCGGCGGTGAGTCGATCTATTATATTTTATTAATAAAAATATATATTTATACTGTCAAATTTTATATTATATTTTATTATTATCCAAACTTATATAAAAAGAGATCTTATTTACTATAAATAGTATCCAGAAAAGTTAACTGCAATTAATGCTATTACTATTTCCAGTATGTATTTTATTTAATTCTTTTTATATTGAAATTAATACTATGTGATTCAATTAATGCTATTACTATTCCCATACAATCTGTTTTCCTGCAAAAAAATCCCACAAAATCGACTTTAATTTTTTGTATATTTTAAATTTCCTTCTTATCTCCTATTTGTTTTATCCCATAAAATCCGTTTAGTTAACAAAATTCCATAAAATCGTTTTAAACTTTTTGTAGATTGAAATCGAAATTTCCTTCTTATCTTTTTAGCAAAAATTTTATTATTTATGTATTGAAATTCTGTAATCCGATTTCAGATTGTATCATTAAGAATATATTATCAAATCATAAAAAGATATTAAATTCATATTGTAAAAAATTAATTCATATAATCTTATAACAATTCTACTACACTATTTAACAGTATTCTTTTTTATTATATAATAAAATAATAATTAAATATTATATAGTGAACAACAATAAGTAAAACTGTTACTCTCTTATATCAAGTGATAAATTTATATGCTAAAATTAAATTTTTATTAGTATAAATATTTTAGTGAGATAATATATTAATTATTTTACAAGCTAGTCTAACATGCTCATATTTAATGTTCTGGCTAAAAAAACAAAGCTGGTTAAAAGATGTAGAAAAAAATTTATGATAACCCTTAGATTTAATGTTGATTAAAAGAGATAAAAAAATAGATAATGACCCTATTATTTTTTAGACTTAAACAGACAAGGGTGTGAAAATAATTCATTTAATATCTCCGTCTCGTCTCGTATATGGCACGGGTACATGCTAGTTTATAATTAAAGTATAGTATTCATACTTGTGAAAAGAAAATTTGGGCTAGTGAGGTAAGATTGGAAGTTGGAAATTAAGTTGATATTTAATTCAACGAATAAGAAAATAAAATAAAGAAAGAGTAGTGTAAATGGGTCCCACTTACAAGTATCCCACGTCTCTGACAGACTGGTTACCATCATCCTCACAACCGCTACAAATTCTACACACAATCCCTCTTCTTAATAACCGCTAATTTCTCTTAAAATCAATTTAATAGCTATAAAACACCATTAACCTATATTGGGTTTTCCTATCGTTGCGAAAAAAAAAACCTATATTGGGTTTCTTTCTTGTAAAAGAAGAAAATTCAATTCTTGAAGCAAAAGCAACTTTTTTTCTGCTTCAGCCATGGCTGCAGAGACCAAGGAGACGACGACTCCCGAGGCGCCGTGTGCGGCCGAGGACGTGGTGGTGGTGGTTCCTGACGTTCCGGTGATTGAGAAGCCGACGGACGCCGTTGTGAACAAGGAGGCGCCGCCCCAGCCGGAGCCGGAGAAAGTTGAGAAAGTAGCGGCCCCGGCGGAGAAGGCGGCGGCGGATGGGGAGAAGGCGAAAGACGATGCTCCCGAAGGTGCGATAACCGCTGAGAGCAACAAAGTCGAAGACTTGATCGATCCGGAGAAGAAAGCCCTGGACGAGTTCAAGGTTCTGATTCAGGACGCGCTCAACAAGCACGAATTCACCGCCACTCCCCCGCCGCCGCCGCCCGCCCCCGCGAAGGAGGAGGAGAAGGAGGCCAAGCCGAAACCGGAAGAAAAGCAGGACGAAGAGCCGGAGAAAAAAGAGGAAGGCCCGAAGGCCGAAGAGAAAAAGGAAGAAGAGCCGAAAACCGAAGAAAAGGTCGAAGCTTGTGAAGAATCTCCGCCGGCGCCGGCGGCGGAGGAGGCGGTGGAGAAGAAGGTCGAGGAAAAATTGGAAGCTGCTGAGGAAATCAAGGAGACCATCATCGTTCACGAAGTCGCCGCCCCTGCTCCGCCTCCGTGCGAGGATCCGGAGCCGGCCGCCGCCGCCGCCCCACCGGCGCCGGAGGAGGTCTCCATCTGGGGCGTCCGCCTCCTTGCAGACGAGAAGAGCGACGCTATCCTCCTGAAATTCCTTCGGGCGAGGGACTTCAAGGTGAAGGAAGCTTTCGCCATGCTCAAAAGCGTGGTGGCGTGGAGGAAGGAGTTCAAAATCGAAGAGCTCCTCGATGAAGAAAATATCATCGAGGGTCTCGAAAAGGTTGTTTATATGCACGGCGTTGATAAAGAAGGGCACCCAATTTGTTACAATGCCTTTGGTGAGTTTCAAAGCAAGGAATTGTATGATAGCACTTTTGCTGATGCTGAGAAGAGGGCCAAATTCTTGAAATGGTATATTCAGTTCTTGGAGAAGAACATAAGGAAACTCGATTTCTGCCCGGATGGGATTTGCACGATTGTTCAGATAACCGATTTTAAAAACTCACCGGGGCTCATCTTGTTCAAGAAGGAGCCTCACAAGGCTACTAACCAGGCTCTTCAGCTGCTCCAGGATAATTATCCTGAATTTGTGGCCAAACAGGTATCGAGGGAATCCAGTTCTTCTTTACTTTACACTTTGATCTGTCAATTCAATTCAATAGTTTTTTTTTAATGAATTCGTATCTAGTCTGGGTTTAAAAATCCAATCTTTGTCTGTTTTGCTTGTTCCATTTTGATATACTTGTGGCCAAACAGGTATGGAGGGAATTCAGTTCTTGTTTACTTTTACACTTTCAATTCAATGGTTTATTTAATGAATTCTTATCTACTCTAGGTTTAAAAATCCAATCTTTGTCTGTTTTTGCTTGTTCCATTTTGCTATACTTGTGGCCTGCTGAGCTAAATTTCATCGATTTGAAAACAATAGCTTTAATAAATTCTTATCTAGCGTGGGTTTAAAAATCCAATTTTTGTCAGTTTTGCTTGTTCCATTTTGATAAACTTGTGGCCTGCTAAGCTAAATTTCATTTATTTGAAAAAAAAAATAGCCTCTTTATGGAAGCCCCTGTATGGATTTCTACTACACTATGTTTTGTGATTATAATAATTATTGTTTTGAAAGGTCTTAATTGAATTGATCCTGTGATTTTAAGTGTTCATGTGCTCTTATTGCATATTTGTTTTTGGTTGTATGTTGTGATTGGATGCTTGTGAGATAGTACATTCCATTGATTGTTTGTGGTTTTCTTGAAGGTGTTTATCAATGTTCCTTGGTGGTATTTGGCTTACAATCGGATGATTAGTCCATTCTTAACTCAAAGAACCAAGAGCAAGTTTATTTTTGCTGGCTCCACAAGAACCACTGAGACTCTATTCAAGTCAGTAGTTTTTCTCTCTTTCTCAAATTGTTTTCCCATTTTCTTTTGTACCTTTTGATTTTGTATAGTAAGATTGATTGTGTAATTTGGACATTATGTTTATATCCTCAAGATACATAGCGCCCGAGCAAGTCCCGGTTCAATATGGTGGCCTTAGCAAAGATGGCGATCAAGTATTCACCACTGCTGATCCTGCAAAAGAAGAAATTATCAAGCCAACTTACAAACACACCATCGAATTTCCAGTCACTGAGGTACTCAAAGAGATTGAAAATTTTGTTGTTATTTTTAATTTCTAGGATAGTTTGTTACTAATTACAAAAACCCGCATATTTTCTAAAATTACACACTGACCCACGATTGAGACTTGCTCAAATCAGGGCCTACCATGTAGTTTTGATGAAAAGTTAACATTTTGCAATTACCCTATAAAAATATCGCGATTTTTGTTTTAATTGTTGATAATTGGATTTGGATTGTGTGATTTTTGCAGGCTGGTATGTTGCTTTGGGAGGTAAGGGTCATAGGATGGGAAGTTTCGTATGGGGCTGAGTTTGTACCGAGTGCTGAAGGAGGATACACTTGGATTATACAAAAGGCTCGAAAAATTGGGCCTTCTGACGAACAAGTCATAAGCTGCAGCTTCAAGAATAGCGAAGCTGGAAAAGTTGTGCTAACGTTCGACAATAAAACTTCTAAAAAGAAGCATCTCATCTACAGGTCCAAGAACAAGCCCTCTGAATGAAACACAAAAATGAAGAGGGTTCCTTTGTTCTTTCACAATATTATTCTTTTTTGTTTTCTAAATGTGATTGGTAATTTGGTATGATTGAACTTTATTTTTTTTTATTTATAAAGTATGGGGGAGTTTGTCTATTTATTATACATTTGTTTGGTGTTTTTAGTGAACTACTTTTTTCTTTGGATTGTTTAAGAGTTATTTGCTGTAAATTTGATATCTTGCAATTGGTTCTGTAAATTTGATATGTTTAACTCTATTTTCCATGTGTGTAAGATTGTGAATTTGTAACATTCTTATTGCTTTCTTTCTGTTTGGGCATTTTTTGTTGGAAAATGCTAGTCTATCAAATTCTTGT